TGTACGGCTTATTTCTTCTGCTCCATGCCAAGCAGTGTGGACTGAAGCAAAGATTTATAGCTAGGGTTTATACATACTACTAGTGGGACAGTTTATATATACTACAGAGAGAATCTTTCTTCTGGGTAGCAGAACTGAAAACCTGTCAGTGTTGTTTTCCTTGTGATATAAGCAGAGTCTTGTCCAATTTCTGTAGCAGGCTGCAAGACTCCTTTTTTTCTCTCTGCCAGCATCAAAGTAGCATGTACTTTAGCACATGCTTTTAATATTGTGCATGCTTTTACACATTTTTATCATCAACTGAAGCATGTTTTTAACACACAATGTCCAATTCTATGCACTTTGGAGCATGCCAATTTATTTCTATTAGAGATAGACATGAACTACCAATTTGCAGAGACATCACCTTGCCGACAAAGGTCCGCATAGCCAAAGCTATGATTTTTCCAGTAGCGATGTATGGAAGTGAGAGCTGGACCATAAAGAAGGCTGACTGCTGAAGAATGGATGCTTTTGAATTGTGGTGCTGGAGGAGGCTCTTGAGAGTCCCCTGGATGGCAAGGAGAACAAACCTATCCGTTCTGAAGGAAATCAATCCCGAGTGCTCACTGGAAGGACAGATCCTGAAGCTGAGGCTCCAATACTTTGGCCATCTCATGAGAAGAGAAGACTCCCTGGAAAAGACCCTGATGTTAGAAAAGTGTGAAGGCAAGAGGAGAAGGGGACGGCAGAGGACGAGATGGTTGGATAGTGTCATCAAAGCGACCAGCATGAATTTGACCAAACTCTGGGAGGCAGTGGAAGACAGGAGGGCCTGGTGTGCTCTGGTCCATGGGGACATGAAGAGACGGACATGACCTAACGACTAAACAACAAGCAGTTTGGAGCATTTGCCCAGTTCATTTACTGTCACAACAGCTGTTCAACCATCCAGTGACCCTTCCTTCTGGCAGGCACCAACTTGGAAGCAGTACCCAGAAGAGGCAGGGCAGAAAAGCTGGGCCACTGCTTCTGAGTGGGCACCTACTGAAGGCGGAGGGATGCTAAACCGCCAAACACCTCTTGCAGCAGCAAACAAAATGGGGAAAACTGCCGAATTTGTGGTTCATGACAACTCTAATTTTTAAAGTCTTTTAATTGTTGCATTTGTTTATCTGTGTTTGTTTGGTTTTATTGATTCTATCAGATCATTTGTTTTCAGTTGTGTTTTTCATTATGTCTTACGATGACAGCAAGCTGCCTTAAGCATAACCTAGCAGTGGAAAGGCAGGACAGAAATACAATAAGCAATAATATTTCCATGCAATTTGGAAAAGAAAGAAAATACAAATTTGGTGCTCACAGATGCATGAAATGGAAAGAGATATATGTGCTTTGGCTGATCATCTTGTGTAGGCTTCCATTAGTCTTGCAAAAAAAAAATGAATGGATTAAAATAATGAAATATTTCTTAATTCCATGTAAGTTGGTATGGGATTCCAAGTGTGTTGTAGTGGATAGAGTGACAGACTGGAGAACAGGGTTTAAATCCCCACTTGGCCATCAAAATTCACTGAGGGAGTAGATCTGGTTCAACCACTCCTTAAATATACCACTTACCTTGAAAGCCTTATTAAACTCACTATAAGTCAGTTCTGACTGGATAGCAGAAATAAACACACAGGTTTGGGGCAGGAGACAGAATGTCCGACTAGGACTCAGGACATGTTGATTCAAATCCTCACCTGGCCATGGAAATCCATGAAGGGGGGCAGATGGCAGCATTGCTAAAACCACCCTTTAGATAGCTTATACAGTGGTGCCTCACTTAACAATGATAATACATTCCAGGAAAATCCCCATTAAGCGAAAACATTGTAAAGCGAAATTAAAAACCCCATTGAAATGCATGAAATGCATTGAAACCCATTCAATGCATTCCAATGGGGTAAAAACTCACCGTCCAGCGAAGATCCTCCATACGGTAGCCATTTTTGCTGCCTGTATAGCGAGGAATCCGTCCCTAAGCACAGCGGGGAAAGAAAATACAAATTTGGTGCTCACAGATGCATGAAATGGAAAGAGATATATATGCTTTGGCTGATCATCTTGTGTAGGCTTCCATTAGTTTTGCAAAAAAAAAAAAAAAGAATGAATGGATTAAAATAATGAAATATTTCTTAATTCCATGTAAGTTGGTATGGGATTCCAAGTGTGTTGTAGTGGATAGAGTGACAGACTGGAGAACAGGTTTTAAATCCCCACTTGGCCATCAGAATTCACTGAGGGAGTAGATCTGGTTCAACCACTCCTTAAATATCCCACTTACCTTGAAAGCCTTATTAAACTCACTATAAGTCAGTTCTGACTAGATAGCAGAAATAAACTCTCCCTTCCTGAAGTGTGCATGTCTCCCCATACAGAAAGCGGATTCATCATAATGCAGGGCAATCTTTAAGTGAGGCACCACTGTATATGTATGAAATTCTAAGTAGGTTACCTTTAGTCTTAATTGACTTGATGGTCCATCCCACATATGTAGATGGCATGTTTGATTGTTCTCATATGGGTGCAAGCCAACTCTCCCTTCCTGAAGTGTTCATGTCTCCCCATTCATGGGACTGTTCAGACATGTTCTCTAGCCATTTAGAAGCTCAGCCAAAGAGCAGGCTTAACACTTCAAAATGTTGAATGTTTACTCTGGCCCTTTTCAACATCGGCAAAGAATACTGTTCTTGAACTTTTTTCTAATACCGGAGGGCAGATTACCTTGCTGGTTGGGCTGAGGAGGGAGACACCATGCCTTTCTCTGTCTCTCTCTCTCTCAACCAGCAAAAGGAGGAATGGAAATTGCCTGGCCCCTTTCTAACCCGAGCACATTGTTGACTGTTCCTCGATGCTATTTTTAGTCAAGCCTTCCAGTGAAAATGCAATGGAAATGTGCTATTTGAAGTGCAAACCGAGGGATTGTTTTGCTTAGCCGAAGACACCAGTTGAAAGAATGCTAGCTCAATTCCTCTTTCTCATTTATTGTGCATCAATCGAAGTAGAGGACGAGAGAGAGGGAGTAAGAGAACATAGATGGGCTGGATATTTGTTAACAAAGTGCCTGTCCAGATGGGTGTATTAATCAGTATTTGGACTGCTGTTGGTAGGATTTGGTCCAAACCAAATTGCATTGTCCACATGTGTTTCTACTTAGATCAATCCATCCTGAACCTTTAAGGATCCTCTGGCAAGGACGCAGGAGGACGAGGCTCCCTGCTCAGACGCTGAGTGGCTGGACAAGCAAGGAGGTGGGGCAGCATCAGCCAAGCTATTGCCACAATTGGGGCACAGAAGGGGATGCCATCTGCACGAGCCATGCACTGCATGGTAACTAGTCCGGAGGGGTCTGGGGATGGGAGGTAATCAGGCCAGCCACCTGTGCCAGTGGGCTTTGTATTCGTATACAAATACGAAGCCCCCATCTCTGTTCAGAACTCCTTGGAAGCCTACATTATTCAAGTCCATTGGGTTTGAGCCTGCTTTTGTTCACCCTGACACTCACTGCTATGAACGTGCTGAAAAAGGGCCACCGAGAACTTCCAAAGGGGTCCCTACCTTTTTCTTCAACACTGCTACATCTCCTTGTTGAAAATTTGGGTTAAATATGTATAACCAAATATGTATCTGGTCAAATATGTCTCACACCTGGCGCCAGTTACAAACCCATTGGTTTCGGCTGTTCTTGTTGATTGCTTGTTTTCTCCGCTACCCATGAAATAAGGGTTTGCTTTATCCTGTTGGTCCAAAGTCCTGTTTTGCTGGTTTCTGGGAAGTGACTACCCCACCGGATCACTTGTATGGCAGCTGTCAATGTGACTGCATTGTAATAGTCATTTAAATGAAGGGGATATGAAGAGCAATGAAGATCACAGAAGAAACAGTCAGTGGGTAAATTATGTTTACTGCATATCGTTTTGCTCTAATAAAATTAGAAAGATGCTAGCCGCTTAAACCAATGACTTTGATGATATGAATAACTCTTTATTTGTTCATTTATACCAGAGAGTTGCACAATTTAAAATTATGGACATATATAAAATATAGGTAAAATTATAAACAAATTAAATTTTAAGATAATTAGGCAGTTTTTGTCCAGAAGCAGGCTACGTCGATAGCCTTATCTCAGTCCTTTGCTAGATCTTCATTTGTACACATGGTGGGATATAAATGGCATGCATATAGGTGCTGCATTGACTGAATTTTTTCACAGTCACAGAAAAAAAATCTATATTCAAGTAGCGCTATTTTACTTGTTTGTTTGTTTGTTTGTTTTATTTTTTTACCCCGCCCATCTAGTGGCCAAGCTACTACTCTGGGCAACTTAAAACAAAATGGCATAAACATAAGAGTCAATAATAAATATCTGTTAAAACAACAAACAAAAGAAAAGCCCGATCCTATACTAACTATAATTTTTTTTAAAAAAAGCTAATACAGAAGATGGTGACAAAATAAAGACAATTAACCCCCCCAAAACCCAGGAGGACAAAAATTAAAGGAAGTAAATTTAACCAGATTTAACCAGGGGTAAGGCTGTGGAAATGAGCATTCTTTGATTGTCTTACTTTATTTAAGAGTTTATTAAGTGACTTGCAGATGATCCAGCTAGAGTCTTGTTCTGGTGGGAAACACTCTTCAGCATTCATACACTCGGCAAGGTGGTTATCTTCATTTTCCGTACGTTTAGCCTGGCCTCTTAGAGCTTGAGATGGGAGCAGAAAACATTTCTTCATTTTTAATCATTGTCTAGAGGGTTGGAGTCCATGAAGTTGATGATTTTGGTGCAGTGTTTTCCTGTTCCATTCATTATTTGCTAGCACCTCCCACCATACTTCTGGAGGGACAATGCCAGCCAAATAATAGACTTTTTCAATATGGGGAAGTTTCAGGCAGTATATGTCCCTTCAAGAATACAGTATGCCACTGTAGCCATGTCAGTATTATGAGCACAGTGCCTGAAACAGGGTGGTATCTACTGTCCAGCTTCATTCTTCATCAGCCTGGATGACATCTCCTACAGCCATCCTCCGTGAGGACAGCCTCCCTGTAAGGAGATCATCATCTGCCTCATCCTGATCCTCCTCTGGGCCCCTATGCTTTTTGGCCAGGGTGTTGATCAATCTGCTTGCTTCACTGAGGGTCTTGTGAGCTCGTTGGCTTGCGGTTTTTGTCTTGCTTTCCTCTAAGCCAACCCCCGTAGCTTTCAAAGGTCTGCCTTTGCCCATCAACTCTTGTTGTTCCTTCATCTGCTTCAGTGTGAAGCGACGCCGGCCGGTTCCCTGTGAAGAGTTTTCTGAAATCTTCATGTCCTTCTGTGAATCGAGAGCTTGCAGATTGTTCTGGGGGATCAAAGGTTTACGGCACGGCATAGGGGACTCATCTTTCTTAGCTGGCTTGGCATTTTCCTCAGTGGGCAAGATAATCTGAATCTCACAAGAGGATTTGGCAACACTTAATGAATGGATGCTCCCTTTATTCTGTAAAGTGGAGCTGTCAAAGGTCTTGGACTTGGGGAAGTTTTCCCTCTCTAGCTGCGGCACATTTTTCACCCTCTTGACATGAGGCTCACTGCCGAAGGAGCCAACACTAGCTAGCTTAAAAGCAGCCAGCTGGGCATCTCTTTGGATGCTCATGATCTTCTTCAGCTGAGCCTCCTTGACTTCCAAGGGGATCTCAAGAGGAGCCAACTTCACTGGCCGTTTCAGTGCAAGATTATCCATACTTTGAGCCTCTCCTGCATAAAAGGGTTTAGAAGAAGAGACACCTTCTTTAGGTGTTATTTCAGCCTGGGCGTTGGTCCCCTCTGGGACGGACAGCGTCTCTGAAAGGTTAGGAGCAGAACGGTGGAAACTGGGAGATCTGAGACCCTTCCCCTTTTTGTCTGCAGGTATTACTGGGGTCGGTTTCTTAGCCGGTTGGAGGTTCATCACCGTAACTTCACTCACTGTGCAGTTGAATCTGGGCATTTTATCTTCTGCCTGGAAGAGCAACAGATATGAAAGTGGCTCTTAATACCATGCATGAACTCAAAAGAACCTCACATTAAATTGATTATCCCACACCTGAGCCTTCAACATTTTCTGTTCACTTATAACACTCATTATGTATAGAAGAATTAACAGAATTAGCCCCGTTTGGAATGAAAAGATGTGTAAAGATCAGAAACCGACATGACTGCTAGGAAGCAGGAATAGATTTTACCTGAAGATAATAACAAGCCATAGAAGAATCTTGTCAGTGTCCCGTGGCCACAGATATATAAACATATGTTTCAGCACATTCATAATAAGAGAAAAATAGCTAAATTAGTCCCTTGCAACAGAGGAGGGCAACAAGGAAGGTCAGGGGGCTGGAAATCAAGCTCTATGAGGAAAGACATGTTTAGCCTGGAGAAAAGAAGACAGAGACGAGATATGAAATCAGTTTTCAAATACTTGAAAGACTGTCATTCAGAGGAGGGGCAGGATCTGTTCTCGATCATCCCGGAGTGCAGGAAGCGCAACAATGGGCTCAAGCTACAGGAAGCCAGATTTAGGCTGGATATATGGAAAAATCTCTTAACTGTTCGAGCAGTATGACAATGGAACCCATGTGCTCAGGAGGCAGTGAGGAGGCATTCAAGAGAAAGTCAGACCACCAGCTGACAGATCTGCTTTGATTTGTATTCCTGCATTGAGCAACGGGTTGGACTCAATGGCCTTATGGGCCCCTTCCAACTTCATGATTCTATGGTAAGATGTAAATGAAATCTATCCTACTGCATTCACTGGAATCCAGTCACTAACTAAGATTTTTTTTAGATCATTAGCTTTAGTGTGAAATAAGCTTTGATCAAAATAAATAGTATGCCACGATTAGGCCCACAAGACAGAATGAAATGTGAACCCCTCATGGTCTTCAAGTAAATCCCTTATCAGGATATGTAATAACCGTGCTCCAGAAAGATTCATAGAATTGCAGACTTCCTGTGCTCCAATCTGAGCATTGTTCCAGGTTGTGTGGGGTGGCTGTTCAACCAAAAATGAGGAATGGGTGAGTTTTTTTCCCCCTATCTCTAAAGGCAGATAATAGCAGCTACTAGCCATGGTGGGTATATCGTCTTCAACTTTAGAGGCCTCAGGATTGAGAATAAATTAGAAACATTCATTTTGTACCTTCTTAAACCAGCAATGGGATGGAATGCATCTTGGCTCAAAAACTCTAAACGTCCAAGGTTAATAATGCTCTCTGTCTGTTGCATTTGCTTTGCCCTTCTCTGACCAAAGCAATTAGCAATAGATTAAATTCATTTTTAAAAAATAAAACATTTTTAAAAAGAGATTAAAAACATCATTCAAAAGCAGATCTGCACAAAATAAATTGGAAATTTGCCTCTCCTGATCCTGCATGGTGTTTTATTATGTTCTTCCTTCCTTCCATAGTTGTGAACTGTGATGCCCACATGGAACCACTAGATGCCAATTGCTGGAGGCAACACTGGTAGAATCCTGTCATTTTCCTGCCATGCTGTAGATGTCCTGGAATAATGTAGCTAATTTCTGAAAATGATGGAATAATCTGGCCCCCAAGGACTCTCTTCACATTCTTATGGCTTGATCAAGTTCTGCATTTTAATTGGCCACCTGTCCTTATTCAAGAACAATTATTTTCTTGCCAATGTGCATTGCCACGCTATTGTATTTTTGCCAGCATCCTTGGCTAATACAATAAATATGGTTAGACTTGACTGTTACTACCTGGGCACATCATAAGAAAGGATTTTCTGGAAAAGACAATAATGCTAGGAGAAACGGAAGGTAGCAGGACAAGAAGTAAAACCAAATATTATATGGGCTGACTCTGTAAAGGAAGCCACAGGTTTGAGTGAGCAGGAGTTGAGCAGGACTATCTGTCTGCAGGACCTCATCTATGTATACAGGTAGGTATGGTTTCTCTCCCCCACATTTACTCTCACAACAAGCCTAGTAGTACCTCAGCACAATCTTTCTAAAGTCTTATGCTAATTGACCTAATTTCTATCCAGCTTTAAGCTCTACCTTTCTCTCCCTTCGCCCATCTCTGCACACGTAATTTACTAACTTCTCGGAAAACAACAGTTAAAAGTGCTCGAAAGTCAACCTTGTTCCAAGCCTTTTTATTTGTCTGTAATGGTCTCATGAATGACGGAAACCCGTGTAAGACTGATGTATCCAGTATTCAGGAAGTGGGGATATGGGACCATTTAAAAAAATGCCTTACAGTATCTAATTCTAAGGCCACAATCCTGAGTGCTCCCTGGAAGGACAGATCCTGAAGCTGAGGCTCCAATACTTTGGCCATCTCATGAGAAGAGAAGACTCCCTGGAAAAGATCCTGATGTTGGGAAAGTGTGAAGGCAAGAGGAGAAGGGGACAACAGAGGACGAGATGGTTGGACAGTGTCATTGAAGCGACCAACATGACTTTGACCGAACTCTGGGAGGCAGTGGAAGACAGGAGGGCCTGGCGTGCTCTGGTCCATGGGGTCATGAAGAGTCGGACACGACTTAACGACTAAACAACAACAACAAAATAGCCTTAGTGGCTGAAATCCTGTTGCTTAGAATAATTAGAGTCAAAATTAAGTCATAATTAGAATAAGCCCACAGAATCACTGGGAATTTGGTAAGTCAGTTCTTCTGGAAATTCTGTTTATTCAGTTGACTTACTATACTGAGCAACAGAATCTCAGCCGGCGATACCTGCCTCTAGTGAGAGATACATGAGATTGCTTTGTAAATATACAAATATTGTAAATATGTGTGTCTTTCCCTGAATGCCATACCAGTGATGATGTAGTCCCTTATCTATGTAAGTATGGTAGTTCTCCTAGCAACTTCATCTTCACAACAAGCCTGTGAGGTAGGCTAAGGTGAGAAATAGGGAGCATAATTAAATGAATGTCATTGCTGAGTAGAGACTTCAAAGCAGGAAAGAGAAAAAGAGAAGAGAGAGAGAGTCTACTTTAACCCGTGCATTGTGCTATGTTACTTCAGAGGGTGATCTGTCAGGAAAGCAATATTATTACAGTTCTATACTAGCTTTCCTCCAATTAAATCATCTCCTTACTTTATTTCCAAAGAACCTTGAATGGTAGGACATGATGAAGGAGAGTGATTGGGCCACGTTCCTCCAGATAGTTTCACCATCAAGTCTAGCAGTGGCTCGGAAACAGGACATGATGAAGGAGAGTGATTGGGCCAAGTTCCTCCAGATAGTTTCACTATCAAGTCTAGCAGTGGCTCCGAAACCTGGGTGCCCAGATGTTCTTGGACTGCAAATCCCAGAAATGCTGGCCAGTACAACTAGGGATGAAGGCTTCTGGGAGTTTGAGTCCAAGAACATCTGGAAAATCAAGGTAGAGAACTAGGGCTTGATTAAGACATTTAGATACCCTAAGCACTGAAGACGATTATGGTGTCCCTATGAATATAACACACTGCGGGTCACATGACTTGAAAAAAAGTATACCACAGTATATGCATGAAAATATGGTAATTTAAGTGTATAGTATGTGGGGGGAAAAGAAATGTGGTATATACAATTATACATATGATCAAATCACCAGCTTCCAGCCAAATCTTGCACTTTCATGCTTTGATTCATGTAGACAGATTTTGTCAGATTCTGTAAACTAAAAAGCTCAAACAAGAGCTGAAAACCACTTTGAGGGGGGTTAATAGTGGCTGTTATTTATTTGGTTAGCATGTATAGCACAGAGACCATGGCCAGCAGCTCTTATTATCCTTATCCCCCACCCAACCTCCCTAATTACAGAAGTAAAAATTTAAAAAACATACACCTAGCATTGATGATGATGATGATGATTGATCCTTTCACTCAAATTATGAGTTTTCTCATTAGGTGAGTCTTTATCCTTTTTAGTTTTTAATGGTTCACACTCAATCAATTTAGGTAGGGAGGTGGTTTCTTCTTGGGGCTTTTGAGGGAGAGAGCCGAGGATGAGGGCTGGATGGATGTGGTTTGTTAAGAAGGGTGCACCATTTGCACGATGCTCCATGGTAAAGCCAGCTCTGAAAAAAATCTCTGTGGTTCTCCCTTCCCTTGTTGATGCCCTAAGCACGTGCTTAGTCTGCTTAATGGTTAATCTGGGGTGCTTGGGAACCACTGACATAGAGCCTTCAAGCTGGATCTCTCAAATCCTAGTGGCTTTCACAGAGGTGGCAGTGAAAATCTACTGCTCACGTTAGTACTTAACAGGGATGGGGACTCAAGTCTCATGACTGGCTATCAAGTTGGATTTAAGTCACATCGGTAAGCTGACTCAGACTTGATCCTAGATTATTTTCCCAATGACTCAGCCAACTCCTGACTCAGAACCCACCAACCTCCTCCTTTTTTTTCTGGGGAAAAGAGCTTGCTTTTAATAGGGACTTGAGACTTGGGACTCGAGACTTGGTATCAACGACTCGGACCCAGAGTTGGGACTCAGACCCAAAGACTGGCCAACATCCCTGGCACTTGATTCTGCAAATCCCCCACAAGTTACACCGTCATGGCTCTTGGGGTCTAAATCTGTGACTTCTGCTATCTGAGTTACTGTAAGAAATGATGTAACCTGCATGGACCTTTTTTTTTGTATGCATGGCGCCAATTCACAGGAGTGGTTGGCTTACCCATGAGAATACAATATTGCAAACATCATTGCTGTCGGATTTTTTTTCAGTGTGGGTAGCCCCCATGCCCAAATGAGACTCATCCAGCACTAAAAATCTGATCAACATAGCTTGTCTCTCCCCACCTTTGCAGAAAAGTCCTACAGTTGAGGGTATGATTGCATGAGAAGGGGAGAAAGGTTGACCATTTCACTGGCCAACTCTTTTTTGTTTCACTACAGGTAAGCAGGGGATACAGGGAGAAGAGAACAATAAGATGCAACATATGTGCTGTGCCCCATGGATGCACTGAGAGAGTTTTATGGGAAATGTTGATGGATCAGG